CCCCCCCGCCCCCAAGCCAGTTTAATAGCTTATTGCAGTAGAAGAGAAATCCGCAATTCTCTTCCTCATCCCTCTGGTTATCAGCACAAGACAGCATTAACTCTATTTCTGTATTAGCACCGTGCAATAATCACACTAGAAACCCTAGTCTCAACCCAGGACTCTATTGTGCTGGGCACTGTACAAACACAAAACAAAACAACAACAAAAAACCCAACAACAAAGACACAATATTCCCTTCCAAAGAGCTTCCACAATAAAACTAACTGGCTGTTTGAATACATGGTAGAAGAGAAAATGTCCCCAGGAAAAAAGCTGCTGGTAGAGAGCAGTTAATTTTATCAGCTAGTACCGCAAATAGGTACTGGCTGTAGAGAAACTGGCCATACAACACTACATAGCATCTTAGGAAAAAGAAAGGAAAGAGTCAGGAATTTATGGAAGAATCTAATTACCAAAGCTGGATTTGAGCCAGGTCATTAGGGCTAAGAGGCTGACAAAGAGGGGCACGTGAATTGCTGATGACCACAAACAGCCAAAACTTATGTTTTATCCAAATGACAGTCTCTCCAGCTCAGCACTGGAGTATTCACTGCAAAGACCATGTTTGAAACTGAAGTCCTGCTAACAAAGCGCCCATCCCTATGCTGGCCCTGAATCTCCCGTGATGCCTGAGAACAAAGGCCATCACAACATAAGGCAGGACAAGCCGCTACCACACACGGCCAAAAGACAACGTCGGATCTACCTACTCACAGCACTGCAGCAGATGGGAAAGCCTACTTGACAGGACAAACTGTCTTTCTAAATAAAGCGCAAGCCCCCAAACACACCTGGCACCCGTTTCTGTGCAGGAATCCGGCATCTCCCACAGAGGAAGGGTGCTGCTACCCGGCCGAAGTCCGACACAGAGGAAGTCTACAGCCTGTCGACACATCCCGCCCTTCCAGGCTCCTGCACACTCGCTCAGGGGCAGGACACAGTGGCTACATCTCTCCCCCGCACCACACCATTTCACTGAGGCACTACACCCTAGCCCTGCATCTCCAGGCCTGGTGAAGAGATGCTGCCACACGACAGCACCCTGCCAAGGGAGCCGCTCTGCTGCACCCCAGCAAGGCGAGAGCGCCCTGGGGCAGCCGCAGCATCACAAGAGAGGACAGAGACGCAATCCTACAAGGAGGAAGGGAAGAAAGCAGCTAAGTAACAGCTCCCCCGAGGCCAGGCCGCGCGGGTCCCCAGGAGCTGCTGCAGGGCTGAGGCTCCCCTGGGCTCCAGCCACCCCCTGGAGCCGGAGTCCACGGCCTCGAGAGGGCGCATGCGCAGCCCGCAACACACTGGCTCCCCATCTGGCAAGTCCCCGCTGCACGAGTGCGCATGCGCGTCCCAACCTCCCCGCGCTGCTGCTCAATGGCTCACTATTTGGCAGCCCCCCCCCCCCCCCCCCCCCCCCCCCGGCTGCGGGCCGCCCGGGAGGATAGCGCCGGGGCCACGGAGAGGGGGAGAGGGGCACGGAACACGGAGCTTTACCTGCAGGATATTCGACGTGAGTGAGAGAGACCGCCCGCCATGGAGCTGGGAACGAGCACTCACCCACCGCGGCCATCTTACCCGGACACCGGGTCAGGCCGCCACAGCCAATCGGAATGCACACAAAGGGCGGTACAACCAATAGGCGGGGGCCGGAGGCCTAAACAGCCAATGGGGCGGCGCGGCCGGGGGGGGGACCCGGCCAATCCCCAAACACCCAATTAAAAATGCAACCCGGGATCGGTGGAGCCAATGAGATGTGGGCATTCACGTCCAATGGAGGAAGGCGGCAGGTAGATCTGGAATCAATCAAAATGAAGGCGGGTGCTGGCCCAGTTTAGGATTGGTGAAGAAGAGGATGCAGTTCATCCAATCAGAAGGTCGGACTGACCTCCAGCCTTAGCCAATCAAATGTGGGGGGGGGGGTGGAGAACAGGAGGCCTGTGGGGCTGCAAGGGGCAATGGGGAGTGCAGCTGGTTTCCCCTCCCCAGCACTGGTGCCCCAGGAGCTGCCAGGCCCTGGCTACCACAGCGGTGATGGCGGTGCAGAACAGAGGGCCACAAGCACATGGCGCACTGGAGCTATTGCCATCGCCTGATGGTGCCGCCGCTAGCGATCAGGCACTGCGGCCTGGTGTGGAAGTTGCTGCGTCAGCCTCTCCCACCGATTTAAACACCCGACTTTGCCCAAATTCAACACGCAAGCCTGGAAAAAGTAGAGCGCCATTGAGCATGACCAATGCTGCCTCAGCCTGGCCTGACCCACACGTTGCAACCTCTCTGCTGCTAGCCCCAGACGGCTGCTTTCGTGCTTTTGTCACTAGACAGAGACTTTGGTGCCGCTCAGAAAACCCAGGGGGAGAGAAGCAGGGCTCCGAGTTATTTGACGTCAACAGGACATGGAGTTACTTCACCCAAAGATCCACGCAGGCAAACTATGGGGCAAAGGGAACGAGGATGTGGGTGTCTTCCCCTCTGATTTCCTTGCTAAGAAGTTAGAGGGAAAAAATGGAAAACATTCCCATTCAAAAAAAGGGGAGGGAACATACTAAGGACATTCTGCAAAGCGTTGCCATGCTTATCTGCTCCACGGAAAGGAGCCTGTATTGTTTGCAGACTGAGTTACCATCCCTTCCAATTCAGCATACATTTCTTCTTCCTTCACTGCTCAGACCGTGGAGTGGGGAAGCCGAACAGGAACGGAGAAGAGAACGAGCACATTATGGTAATGTGCAAGTTGTAAAGGATATTCTAGTCTTTCAGAAGGGCACGGTCATAACCAGGCACCGCTCTTGCTTGTAACAAAGGTCATTGCAACTGGGACACCTAGCAGCTAAGACCTGAGAATAGCTATGGTACTGAACAGCTGAGCTTTGATTTCAGAGTACAATTCTCCCCTCTCCCCGTGCGCACACATGCACACACCCACCACTGCTGTGGAAACATGAATAAAAAGTGTGCCAGAGCACAGACAAGGGGTGTGGGAGGTATATGTCAGTAAGAACAAGCAGTCAGAGCTAAGAAATGCCACTCAGACGATTAAGTGATTTTCTTTCTTAGCAAGCCATCATTATTTTCCCTTAATCATGCCTTCTGTGATGTCAACAATAAGTAATGAGAACATTACAGAGAAGCTGCTTGCAGCAAAACCACCTTGGCCAAGTAATGCTGAGTTGATTCCATTTAAATGGAGGATGAACAGAAGTAGGTCTGGAAATAAGGTTCTATTGTGCAAAAGGGGCAGGTTTTGGTCAGCTAAGGGCATTAATTATCCACATAAACTGAACTGAAAACCTTGGTGACTTGAATGTAAAGCAATTCCAGGGGTCTTCCAAGTCAAACATGCAATAAAATAAAACAGAAAGATGGAAAAAGCAGAAGTGCCCTGGTAAAGTTTGCTGATGACACAAAGTTAGGAGGCACAGTCAATACAAAGGAGAATTAGGACATCAGTCGATAAGTGACCAACTTCAAGGACTGAAAAACCAGAAATAGCAGGACTGGATGGAGTGGCCCAAGATCAGCTTTTCCATGCTACATTCCTATTTTCTCCCCATTTTATCTATATTTGGCAAGAAGAAGAAAATAGAATTCCTTTTTGTCTGAATGTAATGTGCTATAATTATGTCCACAAGTATTTCATAGTTTTGTAGATACCAGAAGTTCCCTGAAAAACAGTAGAAAAAGAAAAGACAAGACAGGACATAAACACACTTGGGGAGTGAATAGATTCTAAATCAAAAGAGAGCAAGAGGCTGCTGCCTCCAGATACCTGGAGTGCTGCAAGGCCTTTAATGTTATAGGAAAACTGCAGGCTAAATTTTTGCCATTGTTGTTAGAAGCTAGGCCTAGGTATGCAATACTGGTGTAGGAAGCTGTGAACTTTGCTCTTCCTGATGTTAGCATAGCTAAGGGATTTTTAAAAGAGCAGCCAAATAAGGTAAGGGCTAGTTAAAAATCTACTCTTTGACCCCATTCAGTTAGACCTTTAAAGAGGAGTTTTTAATGAAGAGAACCATCCGTTTTTCCTTACCACAGATAATATTTTTAACCACTTTCAGGTGAAGATTAGGATCTTGTCCTATGAATTTAAAATAACCCTTTCAAAAGTGGATACCATTATGGGCTTTTCAAGAGAAAGGAAGCAGCTACAGAGAAAAACTGAAGATGAATATTTGCTGCCAAAGGTCAGCCTCTCAGAGAAGAGAAAAAAAAAAAGGGGGGGGGGGGGGGGGGGGGTTAGTATTAAGGACTTGGTGCTTTTACTGCTAAAGTTAAATAAACCCCCCTCTTCTAGAACTATTGAAAGTGTTATAGAGTCAAAAGTTAATACTTGTAAATGAGAAAAAGAACAAAATCATTTTGGGCTTGACCCGAGTCACCTATGCCTACCTAGACATGAGAATTGTTTCACTACACAAACCAACTTTCTGCTCTGCTCCCTAGTGCATGCTTAAGACTTTTTAAAATTAAGTTGTTCCCCCTCCTCCCTTGTCCCCCCAAGATAGCTTCCAGCTTTAGTCCAATGATGCAAAAGCTAGGGATGAAAGTTCAGGTAGTAGAAAGGAAGGTATAGCAGTACTATATCAGTGAAGGGTATTTAAAAAAAGTGCTTTTGTTCCTTTATTAACACCTTTGATGAGCCTGGAAGTAGAGTTCTTCAGTTGTATTATTTTCCCGCTGAATTGCTATTTCAGGTATTACAGCTTTCAGTATCACCAAGAGCAGCATAGACTAAAGCCCAGTTTCCATGCAGGAAGGTTTTTTCTTAAACGCTGGCAAGCTAGCATTTGCCTTCTATAGCGAAACATGAGGATTTATACCCTTTACAGCTTATCCAGCTGCATCAAGTTCTTATCCACAGGAATGAATACTTCTTTGCCTGTGTCTTCTCCTGTCCCAAGCTGCTCCACAACTCAACTATGATACATATGAAGAAAATACTTTCTGCAGGGGGGGGGGAAAACCCTGGCTGTGGGAAGGAACAGCTCTTCCAGTTTAATCTGGCTGCTCTATGGCTGGAAAAGGAAACAAGGCTGAACGTGCAGATTACTTTCTGAAACAAAACATAGTACAGAACATGAGCATCATTAAGCTACAGAGTTCTTCTTTTGGCCCATTTTACTAACATTTTAACTACCTTGATAATGTGCATACTAAGGTTGAGACATTTTAACTTCCTAATTAAAGTAGACTCCTTTAGAACTATATTACTCTCCCTGTAGACAAGTCAGCTTTGAAGAAGGAAATCCTGGAAAATTAAGCATAGGGTCAACCTGTACTAAAAGCATGATGGTCCACTTCATCTTAGAGCTCGTCTACTCCCACCTGAAGAGACACTGCTATTACTATACCCATTGTGGCATAATTTCTCTCTCTATAGTAACATTAGTAATTTTCCTTATGTGGTCAGGCCTCGGCTTGCTATCAGTTCTTAGTTTTTTTTCTTTCTACAATCAGAAACGTTAATGTTCATCATTATAGTAGCCTCTAATGCTAATATGCAGACTCATCAAAATCAGTTGTGACAGATCACCAGAGCCTCTTATTAATAAGGATCCAACTGCAGAATTACAAACAAAAACCAAGATGATGAAAGAAAGATTTATTTTACTTGCTTGTAATGCCCACATCCTAAAAAAACAGATATAAAATGGTTTTAGCTGCAAAGAAAAGGCAGAGCAAAAACAGATGTTTACACCTTGGAAAGCAAAAGGAAAAAAAAAAACCACTCAGGCACAAAGTTACATTCATTATTTTCAGGAGCAGCAAAGGAATGTCCTACTGAAAAGGGCAGGGGAAAGCAAAAAACTTTCATATCCTTCTCCTTGCCATGAGATCATGTGGGTCATTTTTAAAGCCATTCTGAATTCTCAGAAACATGGTTTCTCAGAAAGGTGGGTTTCTTTGTAACTCTGTATGTTTATGACACCTTAAAAGATGCATTTGAGAGACCCTGTCAGAGGCATTTAGTCTATTCTCTAATTGCATTTAACATACCATATTATTACACTGGCACATTCACCACTTTGTGATGGTTGTTACAAACAACTCCATTTTAAGCTAAAAACCTGATCAAATTGCATTTCAAAAGCAAGCATGATCTAAGCTCTGTTTACACCTCAAAAACTATTGAAGATTTTTATTTTAAAATAGCAGCCAAGCAATTTAAAATCCTCTCAAGCGTTAAAACCTTTCAAGTGGCAGCCCAGAATCAATTTTAAGAGATGTAACCCTTTGAAAACAAGGCTTTGTCCTTAAAGGAAAAAAAGAAAAGAGCTACAGTCTAATCAAATAGATCTTTCCCCTTTACTAGAAATACTAAAATATTTAGTTCCCTCTAGATACAAGAAGCTGGGAAAATGTTTTTTGTTCAAGATCGCTCACTAAGCTAGACAGCAAAGAGTTGTTTATTCACAACCTTCACCCCACCTTGTAAAACAGCCGCTTTGCCATTTTCAGTACAGACATACATGAGGTGGGTACCAAATCCAGTGGCTTTCATGTACACAGCATAAAGTTTTACAAAGCTATCAAATTAATTTCTCTAGTGCAAAGTAGATTCCCCAGCAAGTAGCTTCATTATGCACCTAAACAGTCTCTTAGGCTACCCCCAAAAATATTTTCAATATTAAAAATGCAGGTCCTGGCAAGTTCCTGCAACTTAAAGTGGTATATTATCATCTTCCTTTTAGGCCCAGTTCTGCATTGTTCAAGTCAGTGGGAGCAGCCATGCATCCTTGCAGACATTTAAAGTAGCTTAGTGCAAATATGTCACTTCTACATACAGTCTTCAGATCAGCGCTCAGTAAAGAACGTTCTAACAGTCAAACCTAAAGGAAGCTGTCTTGTTTAGGCTTCAGCACTTCAGAGGGTATCATCACATTTTTTAAAGCGGGGGCGGGGGGGGGGGGGGGGGGGGGAGGGATAAGGAAGGGCAGCTCTCCTTTGTTAAGAGGTATAGAAGGAATATTGGTAGACTACCTAAGACTGTGTATGGGGAACAGCTCAGCATTTCTACTGGGGACAGGAGAGAGTTGATTCGATACACCAGCAATGAGAACTTAGAGACTGCTACAAGAAACTCAGAATCCTTGAGGATTCCTCTTTGCTGTCATCAGAAGGACAACAGATCAGATTAGGAATAGGAGTGGAGAAAGAAAGGGAGTAAAATGGTCATCCTCCCCCACTCCGATCTCCACCACTTCCCTTCAGTTGACTGATTAGGAATTGAGTTTTCCTACCTTAAGCCACAGCATGACCACAGAGTTTGCTATGATGACCCCATTTTAGTTCCCTGTCCACTGAGGATTTGAAAGCCAGCCAACATTCTCATTCATGAGAGAGGCTGCCTCTGATGCACTCATTCTAGGAAACACTCAAAGTAGCAAATACATACATAAAAACCACCAACACGCAAAAAAAAGAGAGAGGAGAGAGATAGCACTCTAAAAGTCTAAAGTGAACAGCATCAGTTTTGCAAGTACAAACATTCTTTCTTATTACATTAGTCTTCAGCTTTTCAGCATCTTTTCAACCACAAAGCTGCTAAAGTTCATTTTCCATTCAAACCAGCCACTCAAGGGCACAAAGTGGTGTAAGAAAAATCTGGCAAAGTAACTTGCTTTTAGAACTCACCCGACATTTTAATTCTGATCAACGTGCGGAAGGTGGACAATATCCTCCATTTCCTGCAATTGCTGTTTGACTCCTACCAGCATCAACTGCCCTCTCAAAAACATTTATTTTTATTAAGCCTTACCAAAGATTTCTGCTCCTCACTTTTCCACGCCTAAACCACTGTCTGTTTATTATGCTTGTCCAGTCTCTTGGGGCAAACAACTTTTGTTTCACATAATTGCAAAACGTCACATTATTGAACCATGGATGTTTTAAGATTGTATTCTCATAATTTTGGGAACATCTCTTCTTTATTTCAAATCTTTGTAGACTCTTCTTGCCCTTTTTTTACCTGCTTTTACTACAGGAAGTTGCATTAACAAGTATGTTTGAATGAGTCTGGCTGTAACCCAGGAGACAGAGAGAAAATGCAACGTCGGGAACAATTCAGAACTTTTCACTTTCCACTCACTTCACCTTCTAGGAAGTCTGTATTCTCAACTTTCGTTTCACAAAACACAGCTGGACTATTCACACAGCTCCTGGACGAACGAGGAAAGACTATCCACATGGGATGGCTCTTCCTTCTAAAAGCTGAACTTTACTGGCATCAGCTGTTTTTGTTCTGGTCCCTGCTTTTCTATTCTTGAATATGGCCTTACCCTGAAACCACTAATTTGGGATTTAGCACCAAACCTGAAGCCAAGCCAGAACCATTATGAAGTCTGAGGCAGCAACTGTGGCATGTGGCTTTATAGTATGCGGCAGAACTCAATAGAATTACCTGCAAGCCTTCGAGAAGACAGTGTCTCAGATTCAGGTCACATGAATACTTGTACACTATACTTCAGCTCAGAGCATCCACTTGGCATCGCTCAGAAGCCAAGTTTTACCCTGAGCCATAGGCTCCGACAGACAATGGTCAGCTTCATTTCACTGCAGTGGGAGAACCTCCCAGATGCCAGTCCTTGTTATTTGTATATATGCCCTGTATATACCTAAATCCACATGTGCTTTTTATGGAGAACAAAACTAAACAGGCAAGAGCTTCCCCACAGCAACCTGATCCAGATTCCCTGCACTCCAAATAACTGCAGAACAATTTCTTCGGCATTTCAAATAGCTCCCTCTCTGCTTGTCTCTATAGGCAACAGCAGTAGGCACCAGCTTACTCATCCCTCCTTCACCTGCGAATTTCTTACCCCATGCTACCTGGCCAGCGAGAGGGGGTCAATTCTGAAATGTAGCTAGGCACATTTGATGGGCATTGGAGGAAGTACATGTGCATGCAAGTAGGCAGGATACAACCTACCTGCTTCCTCCTCTATTCACAATGTGCAATGGCATCTCAGTAGCCTCCCAAGTGAAAGGATAGCTGCAGCAGAAGCATGGGCCACCTTCTAGCCAACAAAATCAGCAACACACAAAACAGACTCCTTACAGCTTCAGTCTTGTTACAAAAAAACCCAGCATTTTACTTCCATTCTCTAGTCTTCAGTGCATTACAGAACCACGTCTTCCTCCTCGCCAGAAAATTATTCTTCTTCCTCTCCTCCACATCTGCTAGTAGCATTGCAAACACTAAAATTGCTAAGTTAAAATCAGTAGTGGTGCCCATAGAGACATGTTAGAGAAATAATAAAAAAACCCCACAAACTCAGGATTGATATGGTAAGAGTGAAGTAGAGAATTTGCTGATACTCCCCCCAACCCCCATAAGCATCAGGGACATGTTCCCAGTTGACACAGTTGGATAGCAGACAGGCGCCTGTATGCTGCAGGGGAGGCAGGAGGTAGAAATCTTGGGCCAAGATATTTCATGACTTATGACACCTAAAAATGACTTAAAAATAAGGAGGAGAGGTGGAACAAACAAGAGGTTCAAACCATAAGCCTGCACGTGGTCCTGGAGCTCTCCCAGCCAACTACTGGCTACACAAAGTTCAAGATGAGCAATTAAATGCCACCACGGATGCTGGGTAATGAAAGTCTTGCTGACACCAGTTACCATGCCAGATGTGTTAGCCACCTCTTGGGGAAAAAAATCCAGAGATCACTCTCTCCTATAACCGACTGGTGGATATTAGTGGAGCTCCTCCAGAGATCCATTTTCACTGGGCAGTGTCCCGTTCATCTCTAGGGTGGTCTCGGTACCCAAATATCCCAGAAGGATTTCACTGCGCCGCCGAGAGAGCTGCAGAATGTCTTCTGCCAGCAACTGCACTGTGGTGTATCTCACATTGTCCAGGTCAAACATGTCCTTCAAATACTGCACAATCTGGTGCTGCAGAAAAGAAGAGAGAAGTTTATAGAAAGGAGACTTCCCTCTCCCATGCCTACAATCAAGCAGAGTCAAAGGGTCTATTTCAGACTGCATCAGGTACATGGCTAAGGGAACTGTGGCCATACTTAGCTATTCAGAAGTCTTTGTAGCAGAAAAAACAAAGTATATCCCCAAATAAACCCAAACCTGATAGCCACTTAGAAAAAAGAGCAGAGAAATATCAAGGCAGCATTTTTTAATCAATATTACTCTTCAGGGCAATATCTACTGCAACAGTTTTAATTCAGTCTTGAAACAAAGGAGAAGAAAAACATGCAGTCATAAGATACTACCATGAACATTTAGGCTTTAAGGTCTACTATTAGTCCCATATGATCTCAAGCAATGTATTCAAATGTTAGATCCATTTGTCTCTTATCTTTTTATAGAATGAAAGCATGGATTTTATGCACCATCTCTTTAAGACTGTTCTCATTCTCAACTATGCTGCTCTAGTAAGAATTCTTACAAATCATAAAATACGGTCTACTGAATTAAAGAAAGAGCAAAAGTTTAATTAAGATTGATCATGCAAATCCAGATATCTTCTTACTCTCACAGAAGGGCATCTACCAGAGCAGCATGCGCTCACAGCTTTGCATGATAAGATGGCAAGCGTCCCACAAAGCAGCATGACAAGACAACCAGCTTACCTTGAAAAAACCGCAGACCTCAGACAGTTGCTGTTTGGGCCCCAAAAAACCAAAAGCTAGAACAGGACTGACATGCTCCGATACGGAGTAGAAATGGGAGATAAAGCCATCTGGTACCTGCCATTAGGAAGGAATTGAGAAAAAGTCAGAATTTTAACAAAGAATTTTTTCTGAATGAGCTAGGCTTATGAAGATATCCTGGCTGGTCACTGAAATGCAGTGGGTTCTGAGCTGGGCAGTGCAGCTAGCATGTCCCAGCTGGCTGTATTACTGAATATACTGGCAAAAACATCTGCATGTGGCCACTACTGTATAATACTGGGCAGTTCATAGGTCACAGCCCCAAGAAGTCAACTGAAGAGGAGAAGACTTGCTAAAAAAATAACTTCAAGAGGGCTCTGAGGTTCCTTCAAGCACAGGAGTCAGTGTCACCACTGCTGTTTCAGATAGTGCATGTCCCTATTCCCAACGTCTGGATTTGTCAGGCTCCAGATCTATTAGCAACATCAGGTTTCATGCAATTCTTCCGCACACATCACCTATTGCTGCTCGTTTTACTTACCATCAGAAGCCTCCTCTTTGCTTTCAGAACAGACCAGCAGGCAGTTGCTAGGGCCTACAATTGAAAACAAGGCAACTATTTAAATGGCATTGCCTCTCCAGAACAGAAGGCAATTCCCTTATCAACTGCCATTATGAGACCCTTGAGCTTTTCCCATTCCTATCCTTCTGCAGCCAACAATTCCAAAGTTAAGTCCATTAGGAACCTCACAAATTGGAAGCAAAAATGGATTTGAAGTGGCCCAGCTAGACCAGCCTCATAGCTTATGGATCAAGGCTCATGCCACCTGACGTGATCCCTACTGTACTTCAAGTCAAAAGCTTTCCTGCAGATCACTCCATTTACCAAGAGACTGGCCAACCCCATATCTTGGCTAGAGGGACAGAAAAGCTATTCCTTTAATAAACTTATGTTCAACCAGAGAGCTTTGGTTATTTTATCTGTCCTTTAAAGCATACAGTGGAATTCTGAATGAGAGCCACCCTCTAACATACCGTCTCCTTGAAGCTATCAGAGAGCCAGCGGTTGCGTAGGACAGCTAGCACAGAGGAGGGAGGGTTTTCCAGGTCCTCAAAAGCATCCATGAGAATGAAATCCAGCACAATATCAAAGAAACTCATGCACACCACCTGCCAGAGGACACAAGAGTTTGTAAGAGGGACCAACTGGGAAATTAACTCTATTCGTTAGACAGAGCCAGGACAAGCTTGCCACTGACTTAAGTAGGCACAACTCCACCCATTTCAGTTCAGCAGCTTGAAGTTAATGGAACCATTTATGGCAGTAGCTGGCTGGCCTAGAGACTGTCTTGTGTTAAGGGTAAGTAGATGGCAAACCAAATGAAATCGAACACAGCTATAAACTTTATGGTAGCAGTGCTACTTGGGACAAGCCAAGTCAGTGCAGCTTCAAGAGCTAATCAATCAAAAGTTTCTCATTGCATTAAGTTATGCTGAAAGCAGTCCAAGCCTTGAGCTCTTTTAACTCACCACTGTGATAGGCCTAAGGCAAGGGCGGGCAATTATTTCGGGTGGAGGGCCACTTAATGAGTTTTGGTGAGTTGAGGGCTGCATGGGTAGCTCTGCTCCTTGACAGCTGCCCTGCCCCCTGGTCACCATCTTTGGACCAGAAGTCCCACCCCTAACCCCTGGCCTTTGCCACCAAAAGTCCCTCCCTTGCCTCCCAGAAATACTCCTTTTGGGAGTGGGGGTTACCATCTTAGAATAGCAACAAATCATACACCAAAAGTCAGACACCTACTATAATATAATTTTAATTTTATTACAGAAATACTTGTCTTGATTTGTGTTTGCGTAGTGTATAGAGGCAATTGCATAACAACTCAAAAATAAATTCTTAGTCTTGTACATCATGGGGGGGCGAGTGTATATGTGGTTGTATGGTAAGGTGTGGCATAGGGTATAGCATCTGTGGGGTGTGAGGGAGGGTGGGGAGGTGTGGGGACTACCCTCCCCACACACACAATCCCCCCTGTGGCACACTCAGGATGCTCATGTCTGGCACAGGTGCTGGTGCCTAGTGGAACGCAGCTCTGGCCAGTGCTGCACATCGCAGCAAGGGGCGCAGCCTCTGCCGGGCAATGTCCATCACCGGTGCTCCCTGTCACACACCTGCAGCATCACCACACTCATGGCATGCAGAGGGAAGCCCTAGGTGCTGGAGCCAGCTGCCTTCCCCACTAGGGCTGCGCGGCACAGGAGGGAAGCCCTAGGCGCCTTCCCCCAGGGGGAGAAGGCAGCCAGCTCCAGCACCTGGAGCTTCCTTTTTGTGCGTGCGAGCATGGCAGGGAGCATCGGCAATAGAGACAGCCTGGCAAAGGTTGCACTCCTCACCCCAATGTGCAGCGCTGGCCAGAGCTACACCTTGCCAGGCACCAGTGCCCCGAGCCCCCCTGCCTGCTGTTGCTGCTGCTGCCACTGCCACCCCATGCTCCCCTCACACCTACACACTGCCCATCCCAGCTTCATGCTGCCGCCAGCCCCATGCCCCCTCCCAGCTGCAGCCCTGCCCCCACCGCTTCCTTACACACTGCCCGGAGCGACTGGGAAGCAGGGAAAGCCAAGCAGGTCTCCGGGGGGGATGCAGCAGCAGCCACCACCTTACCTGGAAGCTGTGTGCTGGCCAGACTGGGCCAGTTAGACCCACAAGGGTGGGTCTGAAATGCAATAGGGTATGTTTGGGGAGGTGTGTACATGTGGGTGCCTTGCTCCCACCCTTATGGGTGGAAGAGCTGTAGGTGGGGTAAAATTCGTTGGTGGGTGCTGTGGGCCAGATGAAAGTGCCTGGTGGGTCAGATTTGGCCCACAGGCTGTATTTTGCCCATCCCTAGCCTAAGGAAAGCCCATTTCAGAGGTAAACTTGTAAAACTGGGCACTTTTAATATGTTTGGAAGGGGAAACGCCAGCTCTTAACATTAGGGACAATGAAAAGCAGTTGCAATGTCAAGGTAGTAGCTTTAGGTTCTAGCACAGGGGTGGGCAAGATGCGGCCTGCGGGCCAGATGCGGCCCGCTAAGACATTCTATCCGGCCCGCGGGGCCCCTAAAACATTTAGAAAATTAATATTTATCTGCCCCTGGCTGCCTGTCATGCAGCCCTCAATAACTTGCTAAAAGTCAGTAAGCGGCCCTCCAGCCAAAATTATTGCCCGCCCCTGTCCTAGCAGTACCAAGTGGTGAAGCAGCCAGGTGCTTCATTTAGAGTTTTCACTCTTGGGATGCCCCAATGTATTAGTCTGTAATTCTGCCAGAGAGAGAGAGAGAAAGCGCACTATCACAAACCCCTCTTCCTTCAAGCTCCTGCTGAGTCGTTGGCCAGGTGTCTTGCTTCAGTGCATAACACAGCATCTCCTCATAGCTTTCCAGAAAGGCCTTGGGGTTCTTGGAGAGAACAAAGAAAGGAGATATTAGGGAAAGTTAGTTAGCAGCAACACAGTCCCACTTGGCTATTAATCATTTTCAGAATCTATTTTGGAGATGAAAAACTCTCGAAAGCTGCTGACTGGTTGCACATGCTGCATTCAATGTGGGGGTGCACTAAGCTTAAAGTAAAATGCTGTTTTGTTCTGTTCACGTCTGTAAGCAGCCAAAATTATTTCTAAACACTCCATCCAAAGTATTAGGTCAATATCAGCCAGGCTTTGCAAAATGGGATGGGTTTGGGACTGCCACCACCCTGCTTTCTAGCTTTGTATTGCTGGTGTTTTGGGATCATCATGGGAAAGACTATACAAATACCTGAGGACACAGATGTTCTTGTAGCTGACAAATTGATTCCAACAGGATTTGATCATCAATTAGCAAGACAGAGAAGCAATACTAGAGCTACAGGTTGGTGTAGAAGACTAGAAGCCACATTGAGATGTTCCCTACTCATTGTACTCAACAGAAACAAATGCACCATTGAGGCAGATGGATCTATTGAACAAGCAATGAGGCACCATATCATTGATGATGGCTTTGGAGTAAAGACTGTATTCAAAGAGTCTCACAAAAGGTTTGATGAAGAGAGGGAATTAGTTTTCTTCTTCCCAATTCAGTTATCAAAGCAAGGTAAAAATCCAGTGGAGGACTGGTGCATGAGTGATGCTCCTTTGCTCATGCAAGGGGCACCCAAGCTGTATGCTGCTCACAAGCTTCTTACCTTCTCAGCCTTTATCATTAGTCCTCTCACCATCTGTTTTCCAACCTCCCCAAAGAACAGCTGGTTGCTCTCATCCTTCAGGAGTTCCTGTGAGAACAAAGAATCTTCTTTCACCAAACAAGCCAATATCATTCCCAGTTCTAGGAGTGAGTGTGGGGAAAAAAACTGAGTCAAAGTAAGAGTGCCTGCACCTGTGAAGCAGGCAGTGCTGGCTGTGTCATTTTTTCTTTGACCCAAGTGTAACTTAAAACAGAATCTGCCCTGCCCAGGGCAGCAAGCACTGTGAAGCTTAACTGATTTCTGGTCACTCAGCAACTCCTCTAGTCAACCACTAGTTATACTAAGAAATTTTAACAGAAAAAAATTCACTCTAGTCCTCTCCAGCTGGAAGGAGTGTTGGTGCAAAGATGGGTCTTAAAAGGTAGGGTGTGTAAAAGGAAAAGGAGTGGAAAGGTGGAAGAGAGGCTCTCCTCTAGAAATCAAGCACAGAATAAGATAAGAATCTTGAAGAAGCAACCCAGAAATGCATGGGGTCGTACAAGGACAGTGACACACAAGCACCCTCAGTCTTGAGGTACTCCCCTACAGATTGGGTAGCCAGGGACAGAAAGCCTTTCACACCTAGCTCAGGGGTTCCAATCCAGGCAGCTGCTGGAGAAAGCTGCCAAGTAGTGTAGAAGAGGTATGTTTAGTCACCTCCAGGCAGTTCCCAGAAAACTGAACATTCAAATTACAGAACTGCTCCGGAGGAAACTTGGGTGCCTACCTTGGCCAAAGTCACTGCTGAAATGGGCACAAAAACAAAACTATGCTTTCACCATACCAATGTTTCTGGCCCCTTAGTAGGAGCATGTTTTACCTGTTCTGCAGTAGCAGAGGACTTCTTGTGAATGAAAACATGGTCGTCATGCTGAAGGGATACCTAAAGGAACGCTTTAGGAGTCTGGAAGCCTTAGAGCAGATACAGACAGAACCTGCGATTGCTTTCCAATAACCAAGAAGTTCCTACCTGGAAGGCCTGCCTGATACAGTGCAGCTTTGCCAGGAAATCCTGATCATTGTAGCAGCCTAAAAGCTCCGTCCTAGAAAAGACGAAAGCAGAACATTATAGACGCCATCAAACAAGAGACAACTTCTTGTAAAAGGGCATCCAACAGAGATCTGGAGAGTTGACCTCTTAAATTCCTAGGCCCCTTCAGGAAAAATAAATAAATAAATAAAATTGCAGCCACTTCTCACGAAGAATTAACCCAAGCCACAAGTTCTTTTCCTGCAGGTCACTGAACTACCTTTAAGTAGTCTTTGTTCTTTAAAGTGCATGGCTAGATTTAGATCAGCAAATCTTTTCTCCAAAAGGGAAAAAAAATTATGTATCCCATAACTAGTTTCTTGGTGCAGTCTTAGTGGTTTTCACAGCAAGAGAATGTAGCCAATTTTAAAAAGTTAAATTAAAGAAGGCTTCACAGCATCAGAAATCTATGGGTAGTTTGTATTTCCAGACCAGCAGAGATGGTGCTGTGAGTTTCTCTCCATCCCCAAAAGACAGCATCCTAGCCCCAACACTGAGGCCTATACTACAAGAATGTGCCAATACTGAGGTCCTACCACAAGATCATACCTCTACCTAGAGCTGTCATAATACTTAGAGACACTCACCTTAGTGTTCTGCAATGAACTTTCCCTTCTTTCACCAAATGTACAGCTTCTTCATATGCAGCTGCTGGCTTGGAGAGCTGGAAGGGTATTTCCCCAATTTGGAGGGAGTCAAAGAGCTGCCAAAAAAGCAAAGGATGTAGGAAGCAGAAAGACAGTTTCATCTTTGCAGGTTACCCAGAGGTCAGAAAGAAGCAAAAGGACAATATCCAACTGATGCAGAAAGCATTAATGTGTCTTATTTTAAATATAGATATTTCAACCCCCATTGCAATTTATTTTCTTTCAGTTTTCTTAGCTCCAGCATGGCCCAACACCTTTTGCTACAGCTGCAGTATAAGCCACGTTTAGAAGTGCTTTTACAGTACTAGTTTAGCTGTTACTTTGAAGTAGCAAACATCTAGTTATCTTTCCCATGGGTTTCCCCAAAATTAGGAACAGAGAGTACCATTTCCCACTGCAGTAAGAGTAAATGGCATACAGTGGGTTTATTGATTTATTCTAAAGAATAAAAATTGAAGTCACCTCTGCTGCAGAGAAGAAGGAGTCCTCGGAAGTCGAACTGTCTTCACCATCTGTCCGAAGTCTCAGTGACCCGTCTGTCAATGGAAGCATAAGGGTCCTCTCTGAAACAGAGAAAAAAAAACAACACAACCATGGGGCTCCAGATACCTGCTTTCCTATCTCTAGATTGCCATTCCTCTCCCCTAATGCATTCCCCTCCCCCTCAGGAACAAGAGTCTGTGACAGTCCCCCCTGTGCCCCCCTCCACAGTCACCTTTAAATGCCTGTCACCTCTTTGACTTACTCAGCTAGAGAGATTTGCTTGGCCTTTAGGAGACATATGGTTGACGAACTGTGTTAAGAATCCTGGACAAAGCCCGAGGCTTCCTCATTTAATTACTGTAGCCCCCTGAAGAACTGTGCTTTTCATTGAGTGACTCTAGCAAATGCTTGCCTACTACTGGGAAGATAAAACGGGTCCTATAGAGCTAGATTAATTAGCTTCCTCAGTCTTGTAGATGAAGCAATAAATCAGAGGCCAGGGACCAGCAGTTGACAAGCTACAAAGCATTGCATATTTCTGGTGCAAAGGTTGTTCATAGGTTGAGTTCCAAGAAAAGCATTTGGTCTCTTTGCCTGTCCATCTTATACCACCAAACTCTGGTTCAGCCACTCATCTCTAGCCTCTCTAAATGGATTAAGTCTTTTCCTATGCCCATTATACATCCTTGTGCTCAGTTCTATTCCCCAGTGTGATCAACTCCAGGTCACTCTCAAGGCTGTGCGTCTTTATCTAGCTTCCAGATCCCACTTACCCAGGTCTAGCAGCATGCTGTCAGAGGGGAGTGTAGACCCAAATTCTTCCTGGAGGTGATATGCCCGGTGCAAGAGGGATTCAAGCTTTTCAGCAAACTCCTTTTTTGGAGACTCCTGCTTGAACATCAACAAATAGCATCCTTATAAAACTATTAGCCTGCTCACAATAGCAATTTGTCATCGTTAGAGATGCTAATAGGACAGTTTTGACAGAAAGGTCAAGAGTCATGTTTTACACATTGCAGCTTAGCCAGGGACCTAAAGTGAATCTTCAGTTAGGCATGTTAAACTGACAGTACAGAATGAACAAAGTAGGGGGCAGCACAACTTATATACACACTGCCCTTCCATCTCTCTTCATTGTCGCTTTTGAACTTTAGAACAATGGGGGGGGGAAAGGGTTAAGACTCAGGTCACTAGCCCGTCGCCTCTGATGTTCTAACAGACTGGAGATCACACAAAGGAGTTCAGTGAGCTCAGCCTAGCCTCATGTAGAGGTTTGTTCACATCACAAAATCTGCACAATCCTGTCTATTTAAAGGCCAAAACCAAACTAGCAGTCTACTGAGACTGACTTCATGGTGGCATTAGACACAAGTGATATTTTCCATTAACACATTTGCATGTTATCGGTAAGAGTAAGGGACAGCTTGCATAATGCCTACCTTCACAATACTTTGTTTAGATCTACACTTTCACAAGCAATTAAGCCTACCACTTGGAGAGTCAACAAAAGCACAAAGTACTGGTTATGCAGCAACTGTTTTTAGGCTAGCTGTAAAAACACAATGGCAAACAGCAAAAGAAGAATTCAGGTTTGACTTGCATAAATATTATAGAACACAAAAGCAAACATCCCACATACTTAAGACACCAAACTCTGTTTATAAGTGCCACAAGGTGTCTTACATCAACATCCGACTCCTAAAGAATTCTGACTTTCATCCCTTAAGTACAGCTGCCTTTTTAAAGCTCCATAGTCACCATTAACCCTCTTCCATTGAAGATCCCTTTTTAAAAGAATCTGCCCCTGAAAATTCTCCCAGATTTACAGGGACAGCATGCCAACTGTAATCCTAAAATAAACTACTGCAAACTCTCTCCTTCTAACCTCTTAAGTGACCATTTTTAGCTATTAAGTTTTTCCTTTTTTCTTCCTTGTTTTTCTTTTACTAAGAAAAGTGCATGACCATACCATAGTCAATTTAAGTGCAGCCCAAGAGAACAACTGATAAAGCAATGGAAGACAAACTACCTCCAACTTTAAAGGCATTAAAAAGGAGAAAAAAAAAAACATTAGACAAAACCTACTTTTGACCTTGTTTGTTGCTGGATTTGTTATTTTATTTTCCTGGCCATACCCAGCACTGGAGTTAAAACTAACCTGTGTGTGACACCACCTGTCATTAGAA